TTTCGTCTGTTATTTGGACGTGTCTTTTCCCATTTGTCCTTAGCTTCCTTAAGTTCATTCCATAGTTTCTATAGTTGTTTATAAATGAGGCTTAGGATTTCAAAGTGATTCCTGACATTCTCTTTAAAGTAGAGGGCATGTGTTTAAAATGATGTTGGGAAAACTAGCTGATTTTCTTTTTCTTCTTTAGCTTAGCCTGGAACTTGCACAAGAGCAGTTCATGTTCTATTCCACAGAAAGCAGTTAATCATGTCTTTGATGTTATCACTGAGCTCCTCCACTTCATTTAATCAATAATATAGTCAATTTAATTTCAATTAACTCCATCTAGTGATTTTGATGTATACAGATATTGTTTTAATATGAAAACAGTGTTAGCTGTTCATTGTAGCAGAAATTGCTTCATTGTTTCCATACTTCATTATTTCAATTTCCTAAGCCATACAATCCAAATATACCGTATCTTCCTCCTTAATATTTCCAACTTTGGCATTCCAGTCTCCAATCATAAGCAGGGCATCTTGCTTGCTTGTTCTATTGATTTCAAATTGAGCTTGAGTGTAAAATTCATTAACCTATTCTTTTTCTGCATCAGTAATTGCAGCATAAAGTAGAATGCTCTTCAGATCGTTCACAAAGTCTCACTGATTTTATCTGGTGTCAGCTTCTGCCTTGCTGTTGCTTCAGCTGCCATGAAACGGGGAGGGAGGGCTGGTATTTGGGAGGGGTTATTCGATGTGCTGGAGGAATGTTCTAGGATGTACAACAGGGTTGGATTGCGCATGCGTGAGTGCTTCCCGCCTGGACCAACGGCCTCGACATTCCATCTTCGTGAGGTCTTTTTGAAGTTATCTCACACCTGACATTTGAAGGACTTATGATTGGCCTGAGGCTTTGATCCTAGGGGTGGGGAATGGACTATTCTATATATCAATCGCTTTCGCGCCTAATTAAGTAGACTTTGCTTCGCAACTGCTCGCTTACCATTTGTAATTAGTAAAAGTGCTTTTGATTTCCAACACATGGAATTTCTTAGTCTTTCTTTCCTAATTATTTAATGGAGTGATGCTGACATCTGGTCACTTATTGCACTATGGCCTATACCCTTCGTAACTATAAAAGGAAGGCCATTCCTTTTTTGTGTGCGCTTCACGTCTTAAGTAATAAACAGTGTGACCTTCTGACTGAAAAATGTCCAGTCCCATCTCATTATAATTTACTATGCCTAAGGTAGAAATTCCTATTAATTTCATTTCATCTTTCACTGTTGAGCTTTCTCATGTTCATATTTTTTTAATCTCCTCAGTCTTCTTTGCTAATATCTCCCAGAAACATCCCCTTGCCATGATGAGGCTAGAACTTGGAAGGATCATGACAACCTCAATAATGTACTGGAATGAAAATGGATACGTACTATTATGTAACACTCAACTGGATATTTACCCTTGCATTTCAACAAGTACCTACTTCTCATTACTATAGGAATTATCTTTCACCTAAGGTATTTAGACATATTAAAGCATGATTGGGTTAAAACAAATTAAAATTTAATCTCAACCTAGAAACTGTTCTAGGTTTTGCCTTGGGCACAAAACCAGTTTGGTGACCTTGGGCTAGTCACTCTCTTTCAGCCCTAAGAAGCTGGCAATAGCAAACCATTTTCAAAATCTTGTTAATAAAGCTGCAGAGACCTTTCCAGGCAGTCGCCAGGAAAGTGGCATGTACAAAACTGGCATGTATACCCACACACATGAAAAACTAATGACTTAGAAGAATAACTGATTTAAAAGCGAAGGGAAAACCTTTTGCAGTGGAGGAAATATACGCAGAAAATGGGATATTCACTCTTAAATAGTTAATTAATAATATCTTTTGACACAATACAAAATAAATATAATTGATCAAAAATCAATAAATAGTAAATACATATAGTTAAAATATCTCCACTAAGTTAATCCACCAACATTGTCTATTGGTGCTCATTTATTAAATTCACATAAGGAAAACTGATATATTCTAAGTGAGCATTTTTTACTTTGCTCTAGCAGCTAGATTACTTAAAAGCTTCTGAATTATATTAAAAAGCTTGCAATCGACACAGGAATCAGCACTGTGATAAAATTACAAAGTATGCAAATGCAATTTTGGAAGACATTTAGAAGAAACACTTAAGATCCCTCTTTATGTTCCAACTTTCAATTAAAAGCATAGCCTTTCTCTCCTTCATACTCGCATATACAAATACAACCACTGATGGAAAGGATTTATCTTTGTTTATAGAAATTCAGATGTGAGTAGACACAAAATCTGGGCAAGGCTCAGCACATTTCTGGTCACACAACATGCCTATTATTTTTCGGCATTTGATTATATAATCTTGGTAACATCACTAGTGAAGAAGTACCAATTCTTCTCCTGTGTAAAGGTTACTTCAGTGGGTAGGTCTTTCCCCATATTTATTTGCATGTAACTATTATGTACAATTTTATTTCTAGTTGTTATATAGGTACTCGGACCAGTTACATACATTAAATAAGTCTCAATTTAGAATTTTAAAAGTATAATAATTAAACAGACTAACAACATGAAATAAATAGTTATGAGTGGGGGAAAGCCAATGCTTTCAGAAGGCATAAAGAAAAACCACTTTTATCATGATATCATAACAGACCTTTGGTTTTTATTGAATCAGGAATGTATGCACTACTCACTCAAACATGTTAGCATTCAAACATGATAAGGACTATATCAACAACATTTTGGATGGCTGATATAACACATGTTTTAGATTACAGGAACAGCTTCATTTTTGTAGCACTTGACCTGAAGCACCAAGAAACATCTGGTGGTGTTCTTTGGGAGGCTTTTGAACCCATGGATCCCAGGGAAATCCTCTGCAATGTTACTTGCAGTTTGGATGCCCATTCCTCCTGCCTAATTAAAGCATCTATGAAAAAATCAGGAATTGAATCTGGGTTGCAGTCAACCCTTGGAGAGAAGGACAAATGTCAGAAGTGCTCAAAAAAGCACTAGATTTTACCCACTCTTGCCCATTTAATAAGGCAAGACCTGAATCCAACAAAATTGGACAACTTTCATCCTAACTCTCCTTTAGGGAATATTATTGGGAAAGTGGTTTTAGAAGGATATGGAGGATATGAATTTTCTGAACTCTTCCCTGTATGGATACAAGTCTGGGCATGGATCAGAACTCTAGACCTATGATCTATAGCAGGGACTGGGTAAAAAGTGGTATGAATTTTTTTCTCCAAATCTATTAATAGCATTATTGCTGTTGACCACAAAATCCTTCTGTGGATACATACTGTTATGTTGGCTCAGGTCTTATCTCAGTAGGCAGGTCCAGAATATGATTCTGGAGGGAAGGTAGGGGGGGGGATCTATAGGTACTTAATTATGGAATGTCTCAGGGTTCATTCCTTTCCCCTGTTCTGTTCAACATCCATGTGAAATTGTTGGGAGAAACCTTTCAGTGGTTCAGGATGAAGTATACTAATATGCAGATGACATTCAGTTATAGTTTTCTACCTTGGGCCTGGACCCATTCTGCGATGCTTTGGAAGATATGACTCCGTATCTGGAAGCTGTCAAGGTTTGGATGAGGGGGGAAAAACACATTCAAACTCAACCTGAAGAAGACAGAGTGGCTGTTGATTTAGAGATTTATTTCAGGGCGGTAAAATTGATGGAGTTACATTCTCCTAGAAAGAGCAGGCAGGCAATATAGGAGTTTCTGGACTCATGGATCAAAGAGCAGGTAAAGGCTATGGCTAGAAACTTTGGCTGGTGCATCAGCTGTGGCTTTACCTAGAACAAGATGTACTGAAGATTGTCATTTGTGCTCCATCATCTCTTGATTATTTCACTGTAATTTGTTACCTACCAGGCTATGGTTGAAAGCCATTTAGAAACTTTAGCTGATCCAGAATGCAGAAGCATGCTCAATGGTCAATCACATTACTACAATATTGCATTTCTGCTGCAGAGCTGCACAGGTTAGTCGTAGGTTTTTGAGTATAATTCAAGATAGTGGTTATTGTTAGGAATATAATCTAACGGTTGGGTTGGCAATATATAAATCATGTAACAATGCTATACCTGTTTCTTTAAATCATACTGTAAAATGTGATTGGTTGCTGTTTCCTCAATCGGCCATAAGAGCGAGACAGAATGACTGTTAGCTCTCTGTTTTGTTAGATGCTGGGCTGATCTGATCTGAGTGTTTTGGAAGCTGGCTGTTAGAAAGTGCCGTGAGCTATTGTAAATTTTGCAACTGCTAGCAAACTTTGAGTACCGGACTGTTTGTATGATTATGGACTATGTTATTTGGATTATCCCTTAACTGAAAGACATTGATGACTATCTTATCCGTGTATGACTTGGACTGTTTAATGGACTCTGATACCTCTATTTCCACGAAAGTAAAAGCCTATTTAAACTGCAGTGTCTCTGTATGCTGGTTTTTGTGTTCTCCAACACAACTCTCACAGCGCTTCTCTGAACGCACTCGCTCTCCCAATGGGGAGCTTACCTAGCAGTTATTACCCATAAAGCTCATTATGGTTCAGGGACTGTATATCTTAGAGACTGCCTTTCCCCATAGTTTCAAGCCTTTCCTGCACATACAATTAGAAAGCTTCTACTAAGAGTCAGCTGTAGCATGAGGGGTGTGTGTGTCTAATCTTGCATAAATTCCCCTCCTCTGGAATAGCTTGTCCCCTGAAATATGAACTCTCTGGACTCTCCCCATATTCATGGTATATTCATGGATGCTTGGGAGATTAACTATACCCCATGATGCTATTTTCCATAAATTCATAATTTAGTCATTTACTTTTGTGGCTACTTTAATTAATAATTAGTCTTATTGTAACTTTTGAAAACTATCTGAAGTCAAGTTGGTTTCAAGTGGCAGACTAAATCAATCAATCAGTCAGCATATCAATATTTTAAGAATGGGTCACTTCTTCAAGTCTTACCTGAGCAAGTGATACCGGAGTTCTTTTCCTCATTTCCAAGGAAGTCAAAGTTACTTTCTCTCCTTTATGACTTGCACTGCATTTAAAGCAAGTCCACCTCATCTGTCCTGTTGTTTCAGTGCCACACTCTTTACTTAGCAGACAAAGGGAATGGTACAAATGGCCGCAACTGTTATAAAAATAATTACACATATTACATTGTATGCACACATAACATAACACTGAATACCTAACATGTCAAAAAGTATAATCAAATATAAAAACTTTTTTACAAGAAATATTATACTTCTGAAAAGTAACTTAATGTTTAAGCCATTTTTAGACATTAACAGTGTAATGTTATAGTTATTTGTTCAAAATTCCATGCAACTTCCTATCACATACATATGCAATGGAATGCACTCTTAAGAAACCTTCCTTCTACACTTATTGCTTGCTACATCAGATAGTACCAAATCTCACTTTTAAAACCTTTATTATGATAATTAAGCCACGAGAATAATTCTAGACAGAGATTTGATTGCATTACTCATAGAACAATCATCACTATGTTGACAAGAATGGATAAAAGTCAAGTTTTTTTTAAAAAAATATTGTTAAAAAAGAAAACATTGGACATGGTGAAACTATCTTGGTGGTCTCTACCCCATACAGCAAATAACACAAGTCTCCTGTGAATTCAATATACATTACTACTTACTGATTATATATGCTTACTTAACATCTTCTACACAATTACAATTACAATTGTAATTACATAATATACTACCTATATTGCCTTATGTTTTAATCTATGCATCCTTCTGTTTATTCGTTCCGACTTCCCTTCCTTAAATCCAACCACTGATAAAATCTATCCCAAATCTCATAGTACCCTATCTCTCCTTTATTTTTCAATCCTAGCATCAGTCTATCACATTCTGCACAATCAAATATGTTCTTATTTCTCTTTCTTTAGGTATGTTTCCACTCTTCCATAGCTGGGCATAAACTATTCTCGCAGCTGTTATGATATGTAGTGCTAGATATGTTAACCCTTTGCTTAAATCCTCTTTAATAATTCCTAATAGGAATATTTCTGGTTTGAATTCCAATCTCTGTCGAGTCATTTCTTCGAACCACCTTCAAATCTTTTGCCAATATTCTTTAGCTTTCCTACATGCCCACCACATGTGGTAGTAGGTGCCCAGTTAAAAAGTCAAGTCTTGAAGGCATCTGAGATGGGCCCCCTCTTTGGAAGCAGACCTTTCAAGAAATACAAATTTACCCTAATCTACAGCAAAAAAATTTTTTATCCTCAATTCCCTGCCTGCCCTATTCCCTGAAAATATGACATCATTTTCCTTTCCCAGTCAAGCATGTTACATCTTCCATTTTAATAAAATGGGGCACAACATTCTCCCCTTCTGTCTCCTTGCACAAGAAACAGGAATGGTAGCATTAATGTAAGAAGCTAGCTCTGTAATCATATTTTAGTTTCTCCCAGCTCTATGAGACAGGAGAGGCTTTTGTCACCTGCTGTGTATGAAAATGTTAAAGCAATTTTTATATTTCTTGCATTTCTTAGTCGATAGTGACCACACAAGATTGTGCTTTATGCTAACTAGGCACCATTGCCCTTTCATTGTTGAAATTCAACTTTATGTAAATGAATTAGAAGCAGAACCAAAATGGAGATTTTATAGTATTAGATTAATTAAGCACTTCCAAATAGTAAAAATCCTACATTAACATACCTATGAACTGTAATGCTAACTGAAAGCTTTGTGTTTGTAGGTTCAACCCAATTTTAATTTTGCTTTAATCTGGCGAATAAAGGATTAATTGCCCTGTATTTAATAACTTCTGTTACTGATTATTACATAATTTTGTTTTCAACTGAAAAAACTAATATTATTAGTAAGGCTATAGCTTGGACAGTAATAGGCAAGGTGAACATCTATATACATTATATTATTAGTGATATAGCAATAGAACACTGTGTGCTGAATATCAAAGTTCATTATCTTCATTAATTAGTAAAACTGAGCTCTCCAGAAGTCTTCATTTCCTTGCAAACCCATTCATTGTTGAAGCTATTCACAAGTCTAGACTTACCTGAAGACTACAATTTGGTCACCAGTCTGTTGCCTTCTCTTGTACTGTTGTAAACAAATACAACAATAATCTTGTTTGGGATTGAGCCCTTTAGTCATAGATGCTTTCAAATTACGTAAAGACCAGTGGAGATCGCGGTTAAGTAAGCTTGTTGTTGTCTCCAAAAGAGTCTAGCCAGGCAAAAGAATAATATAGAAATCATTTCAGTTGTTGCCACATTATATATATCTATATTGAATGTAGAAAAGTGTCTCCACATGAATATTAATACAAAACAGAAATTAAACATCTTAATATAAATTACCGTATTTTTCAGATTATAAATTGCACCTTTTTTCCTCAAAAAAGAGGGTGAAAATCTGGGTGCATCTTATACATTGAATACAGCATTTTTGGCCTCCTGAAACCCCGCCCCCTTCACCAAAATGACTGTGAATAGCCTTTAGGAGGCTTCTAGGGTACTCTTGGGGGCTGGGGAGGGCAGAAATGAGCGGGATGTTTTGTGCTTGTTTTCGCCCCCCAGCTCCCAGGAGCACTCTGGAAGCCTCCTAAAGTCTACACTTGTCCTTTTTTGACAAAAAACAGGCCTTTTATCATGAAAAATTGGCCGTTTTTGGGAGGTCTGCAGAGTGCAAAAACTTTTTTTTTTAATTTGGCTCTTCAAAATCTTGGTGCATCTTATACTCCAAAAAATGCGGTCTATGCTAGCCTAGCTTTCTAGCAAGTTCACTATTTCTTCTGTATTACAAAGCTTCCATACTATCAAATGCCTCTTGTTTGATAGTATATTATCCCAGTAGTTTAATTTTAAATTTTGAGGTATTCTAAAGATCTAATATAATAACTTGACCTTTCTGATTTAATATAAAGAAACGAAGGGAAGACTTGAAAGGATATAGTTGCTAGAATATTGGGCAAGAAATCTCTAGTTGATAATTACTTACACACATACAAAACAAATCAGTTTCCTTTACTATAATTTAGATCTCTGTTGGTAGAGCAGAATCACTGACAAACATCCTCCTAAATGGTACTATTTTATTTAAAGTAAAATGTTACTAAAGACCTGAGGGTAAACAAACACCTTTTTCCTACAAATGGATAGCTTCATTCTTCTTAAGGAATTGTAGAGGATGTAATTGATCCACAGTTCACAGGAATCTTAAATTATCTCTTCACAAAAATAAGGATGCATTGCACCCAGACTCCTTTATGCCTGAGAACTGAGAATAAAAACTAAAGACCTAGTGAGTGTTGGAGGGGAAGAAGGAAGAGAAAGAGAGATGATCTGAAAATAAAAAGAGGGGGAACTGGTAGATTTCTAAAGGGGCATATGTGCAATTCACTCAATTCCATGCATTCCATTCAGAGGAGATAAAGATCCTCTCTCAAAAAAAATTCATAAACATGTCCCAGACCAAATATTACTAGATGAAAAACAGTCCTTCACTGATTAAATATTTCAGCTGATAAAAAAACCATAAATTGTTTTTAAGTAGATAAGATAAGCAAATATATATCTTATTTATTTAATATGGTACAGTGTACAATTCTAAAACGTTTCACCTTAAATCAATTTCCATCACCAGGTTTGGAAATAATAAAAAGCTGTACTTGGATATAAAGATACTGAAATCCCACTTTTCAGCAATATAAAAATTAGTAAAGAATCAGGAAACTGCATTTAGGAACTGAATATTTTCAGGCTCTCTAAATCACCTATTGAAGTTTAATGAATTTCATCTTTTCAAGGACAGCTTTTCAAATCCCAGTTCAATGGCAAGAACACAATATTCAGCTGAATATAACCTTGCTATAAGTGGCAAACAAACAACCAGGGTTTGAGAGAAATAATGGTGCCTTGCTTTCCTACAATCTTATTTTTGCTTTTAAAAATCTAACTACACAGCTCTTTACAAGAAGGGAGATAAAGTAGAAGTAGAATTTAATTCTGAAAAATTAGAACTTAGAATGCAATTTGTTATGAATGCTATTTGTTATTCTGTCTGTACTGTAGAAGATGGGAGGCAAAGTCAGAGTTCACTTCATCAAAGATGATGCTGGCAAAAGATATTGTCGTAGTTTACCTTGAGATTATTTAATGTGAACACCCAGGTAATTGCTCACATCAACCCAGGATCTGCACTGGGTATAGGCACATACTGCATGGTACAGGCATTTACCATATAGCACTTCCAAATGTGTGGTGATTTGCTTAATTGGTATCCAGGAATAATCAAGATGGAATTCACATAATTATGAATTGGCCTAATTTATACCTAATGAACCAAATATATTCATCTGAACATAGTTATGTTACTAAATTTTACACTGCAGTTTTCCAAGTAAGGTATGTATTGGGAGGAATTGCAGCTCAAAAACAATGCAGTCTTTGTGCATGACACATATGGGACAACTTTGTGCAGAAAAAACCTGTATACGATACAAAGCAAATAGACAAATACAATATTTTCGACAAGTTAATTACGTGGTTAAACTTAAAACTCTTAGAAGCTGATAAAGAACAAAGAAGAACAAACTCTAACTCTTGGACAATGGCAATTTTAATCAACAAGAAAAAAAATCCCCACCTTCTACTTACCTGCTCATAGTTAAAGCTGTCTAGCATACCCAGCACAAGACCCTGAATTTCTCCAAGTTTTCCTCTTCCATATACTGGATCCTGTGTGAAAGTTATTAGAAGATGATCAACATTAATTAAAACAGATAAAATGAAAGATTGACTGTTAAAATATTTTTTCCTCTAACTACAGTGAAACAAATGTTATCTTATGTCTCTTATCCAATAAAACTGATAGAATGCAAGAGATAAACAGAGCTATAATTTCTAAAGCAAGTTCAGTCCCCCCCACAACAAAACAGTTTAGAAATCTGCAAAAGATAAATTCAAAAGGGGAGGGTTTTGTGAAGAGAGATTAAATCTCCCTTCATGGATACACACATGGTTTTCTACTAGTAAAGGTTTTGTTAGAACACTATAACAAAAATAATGCTCCATCAGAATGTTTATGTAGATTCTCATCCAGGTCATGGTTGTCCCAAAGATGCTTTTTCAAGAGGCAACTGGACTTCCTGGTTTTTCTTTGAAGATGTTTCACTTCTCATTCAAGAAGCTTCTTCGTTTCTTGGGTAAGAGCTAATAGTTGAAGAAGCTTCTTGGTGGAGAAGAGAAACATGATCAAAGAAAAACCAGAAATTCCAGTTGCTTCTTGAAAAAGCACCTTTGGGACTCCATCAGAATATTTAAGATCCTGCATGAGGTCACTTTGAATTAGTTCTGCTGTAGAAGAATTGTATCAAAACTTACTTTGTGGGTTTTCTAGTCTCCAATGAACTTGCTTTACCAGAGAAGGGGAATGCAATAGTGCATTTCCTTTCAGAGGTATTTCCTTGCCAGATTTCCCAATGCCCTCAATAATGACAGAGCTTATAATATACTGCCTTCACTAGAAAAGCTAGGATACATTCAGAGATGTATCGGCTCATGTTGAAAATAACTCATGCTGAACTGTACAGCACAATCAAGCTTCATCACAGGAAATGTTTTATGACATTTTGTATTATGTCTGCAACTTATACGGAATCTACCTTACAAATATTCTATGACCTAAAGTATCCTATATGCTTTCAAAATGCCTTGTCTTTTGCTGCATCTTCTCCTCTCAATGTACAACTTAGTGCTGCAGTATTAAGACAAAGATTGGCCTTATCGCTTGAACAGGTTCTAAAAAAGGGATACATATTATTTTTCTTAAAAATGCATTCTTTTTTAAATTCCTCAATATATTACAATGGCAATTAAGTTTTTTAAGGCTGGGGAGTGGGGTCATATCTGGTTTTAAATAGATACTTTCCATTCTATTTTTTTCAGCATGCATAATTTAAAAGCAGCAACTTAGAAAGTACATCGTGCTGCAACACTATATAAATTATGGAGAACAACTGGGAAATCTGAGCTCTTAATGCAGCATGTACCGATCATGACATACAGCAAACTATTTTTATCTGCCAACTACTTTTTGGAGATACTCTCCAAAAACAGAGTATCCTCCAAAAGGATATGTCAAAGAAAAACATAGACTTACTAGAGAATTAAATACAGAAATGTAAAGAAACAGCAATTCATGACATACTTTTGCATTTATAGATCATTTCATTTATTTAAAAAATAAATACATAGTGTTAAATTGTTTGGTCAAGGTTATTATAGTACACCATAGCAGGTAGCAGCCTAAGTCAAATTTTGCTGCTCTTGTAAAAACTAATTAAAATCAGACCATCCCACTAAGGGCCAATGACTAGAAAACCTCAAGACTGTAGGCCAGGGGTGTCAAACTCGATTTCATTGAGGGCCGCATCAGTGTTGTGTTTGACCTCAGGAGGCGGGGTGGTGGTGGCCATCTATATGTCACTCGTGTCACTGGTGCCTGTGGTGGCCCAAGAGCTCTGCCAGAGCAAATGTGTTGTTTCCAGGGTGGCTCTGTTTGTCAGATCTAAGCTCCCCGTGGGCCAGATACAGCCCCTGGGTCTTGAGTTTGATACCCCTGCTATAGATTGTAAGACTTTTTCCAAGTCATCAAAAAAGATCTTGGAAAAAGACAGTGGCAAACTACTTCCATATATTTAGCAAGAAAATATGAAGATATTCACGAAGTCACCATTAATCAAGCTTGATTGAAAGGGAAAGAGCTTTTGGGAAGAGTGGGAAATGAATCCCCAACAGAAAGCAAATCAGCTAAATGACTCTTTTAAATGGCATGACATTAATTCACATTTCTGATATTGTACGGATCATTTAAGCCTTGCTGGGAAATTAAAATAAGAATTATAAAAGGAAAATGGGCACAGCTGCTTATTACAATGATGTTGAACATGAATATATGTAAGAGAGAGTGTGAAGGTAGGAACCATCTCCAATTCCAAATTTTCACAAGCACAGATAGGATTTTCCTTTTTAAAAAGTTCCTTAGCTACCAAGTAATGGAAGTAAGACTTGATTAATTATTTTACGGCTGCCTTAAATGACCAGTTACTCAATTTTTTAGTTGCTGTTGCTACTCTTCAATTTTTAATTGTCTTTTGGTTTTTAGACTGCAGAAAGTGTTATTCATTATATCCTACTCATCACCTGAATTAAACTGTAATCTACCTAACCTATAACTTGTTATGTTTTATAGCAATTCTATTACAGTACTCCTTTCATACTGTCTCATATCCTCATAACTTATAAACAAATTATATATGTTACAGTTTTTAACTCCCTAATCTTAAATGTTTTTACATTGTAATGGTCAAAGATCAAGATACTGTACTGAATGAGAGAAGCATACTGAGTTGGGCTGAATTATAGCAAGAGAATGAATAACACTAGAATTGCAAAACAAATAAAGGAACAAAGGCAAAATAGATCAAGATGGGATTTCATATGAATCTATGAAAAAGGGAAAGATCACATATTTCAGGAACAAAAGTTACTGTATGAAGTGGTGAAAACAAGGAGAATTTGCAAGTATAGGAGATGCATATTGAAACATGGCAGAAATGAGTTTTAGGTGTGCTTCCTTTTCTTATTCTTATTTAATGCTTTCAATTTCCTTGGATTATTATTTGTTATTCCTTTGGGATATTCTGTATAATACTGTTTGAAAGAGAATAGCATATTTACGTACATTAGATAAAGCAACAATGCAGTGTAAGATCATAGATCAGATGTCGATCATTCATTAACATTCAACCGGCATTCAGATGATTCCTATTATTTTATTTATTTATTAAATAAATTATTAAATAAATAAATAAACAAATTATTAAATAAACAAATTATTAAATAAACAAATTATTAAATAAACAAATTATTAAATAAACAAATTATTAAATAAAC